CTCTACCCTAACCCTCACTTCTCTAAAGTCGCCGCCCTCATTTCCCCTCCCCTGATAAACTCTAGCCGCCGTTCTATCAAATCTCCCCAAATCCGACCCCATATCGGAATCCATCATGGATTCCTTTACTTTATTCGCCTCTCCTTACCACTGGCTACTTGTCTATGATCCTATTTAGTTGCTTGCCTAACATGGCAAGCAAATCTTGCCAAAATCGAACCAAATCGATTCAACTCTCTGATTTCTATGGCTATTCTGTCTATATTCATCTCTGAGTCTTTGTGAGTAACGACCATGTTCATATCTTCTTTGGTTCTTACTTGCCCCAAATTAAGGTTTTCAAACTCTTTCAATCGGACCTAAATAGGACCAATTTTCTGATTTCTAACACTATTCTGCTTCTATTCATCTCATCTCGTGGTATTTTTACCTTATTTTATTTTGTATTTTTCTTTTTACTGATTTTATTCTTCCCTTAAAAAGTAGGGTTTGAATTTTTTTCCCTTTTCTTATTGATTCAAGTGAATCTTTCATTTTTGTGTTCGATTACCTTCTCTTTATAATTTCCCTGATATGATGAATAAGTTTGTCTGGTATTATTTTCTTAGAAATTCTGAATAATTTCCTTGTTTGGGTAGTAGTTGTGTTTCCTTTTATACTTGCCCTAATATTCTGAACAAATTTATTATATTCTGAGTAATTTTATGTTAACTCATTGAATCCCTTAATTTATGCCCTAAATTTCCTATTACTGATTCTACAAATATTTTCTTGCATGTTACCGATTTGTTTCCATATTTATATGCTGATTTCTATCACTATATAAACCCCTCCCCACTCTCCTTTGAAAACCAGAGATTCTGAATTCAAAAATCTTCTCACTAATTTAAACAAAAGTTGTGTACTATTATTCTCTCTAGCAATATTATTCTATGCTTTTATTCTTGGCCGGCTGAAAGGCAAGGCTAGAAATCCTCAACTGTTTTGCTTCTGTTGGTGACAATTGCTAAACTGTTGGATTCTTTTTTCCCTGTCTCACCTTAGCTGGAGAGTTACCGAATCTTTTGTTATTCCATTATGATTACTTGCTTTATATGTTACTGTTATTAAACCATGTTATCCTAAATGCTATTACCTGTATTTAAGACATGTTGAAGTTAGTTTGAATCGCTTAATGAAATCTACCTAACTCGTGTAATTTAGGACTCTTTTTAGCATTAAACAGGCTTTCATACCTTTCCTAAGGACTTTTTAAATATGTGTGCCTTAACAGATTCATCAGTTTGTTTATTAAACCTGTTACCATATGATCTATTTAATTTTGTGCTCACTATGCTATAACACCTCTGTTAAACTGTCTTAATCAGTTCCTGACCTACTGTTAATAATTGAGCTTTCTTTCTTAGTCAGATATGGAGTTGTTTATCACTGTGAACATCTTCATGAACTGGCCTTATTAGCATGTGGTTATGTTAATTCCCAAAAGCTGGATTAAGTTTACTTAGGCTCAAATATGTTGCTATATATTTGTATTCTATGTGTGATTTTTTCCTACTCTCCTAAGTCCTCACTATTTGCTGGCTTAACGCCAAAGCAATTTAGGTTATGTCCCATGGCCTCCCTAGTGTGAGCACTGCTCAGCTTTCATATGAGAACCTCGTTAACTGTGACACACTAGGATTTGGTCCCTAGACATCCTTGAACTGTTCTGATCATTCTTCTCTAGTGTGAGCACTTCCCTGGGTTCTTGAAGCCCTTGGGAACTCTGACACACTGGAGATTTGGGTTCAGTATGTTTATCCTTGAGATATGGTTGAATCATGCATTTCTGGTTACTGTGTCTCTATGAACATAGGATTTTGGTAGTATGAGTTGAAGGCCTGGCCTGTGTAGGTGTATTTAGGCCTGCTGCAGGATTCCTATAGTTTTATATACTTTGTAATTCATTCATTAATTTTTGGTCTTTAATAATTATTTGTAATAACAATTGGGGTGTTAGTAAATTGGGAAACTGGGTTTATTTTAGCATTTGCATGAGAATGGGTAGGAATCCTACCTTAGGTGTTTACTTTGCTCATTCTGCTATTGTTCATTAGAGAACTTGCCTATAGGTATTTACTTTGCTCAAATATGTTCTCTGTGCATCAGATATCCTGTCTATAGGTGTTTACTTCGCTCATTCTACTATTGTTCATTAGATAACCTGCCTACAGGTGTTTACTTTGCTCATTCTGCTATTGTGTGTGTTATCTAACATGCCTCTAGGTATTTACTTTGCTCAAATACGTTCCGCTATTGTGTGCCTATATGTGTTTAATTCATCTAGCTTATTCTACTTTTACATGTTAGATATCATGCCTATAGGAAATAAAAGTAACCAAAGTTCAATTTGCATTGCACCATATTCATTAGGCATCATGATCATAGGGTCATTTATATTCTATAAATCTGCATCTTTAGAAATCATACCTATTGGATTTTAATTGATTTTTATACTATTGTCATAGTTGTCCATTTAGTACGCATGCCTATAGGAACAAAAACCAGTTTTAATCATCAAGAGTAGGAATCATGTCTATAGGGTGATCACCATCTGTGTTAAGCACTAAAATTAGGCTTTAAAACACTGCCTCGTTGAACGACATTAGAAAGCATGCCTATAGGAACAACTTAGTAATTTTGAATATCTTTCGTTGCTTATCACTGCCAAATACTGAGTAAATCACCTAGATAGCATGTCTATAGAATTTAACTGCTTGTACTTATAATCCATAGGCAACTGTGCAATCACTTAGAAAGTACATTGCATAACTGCCAGCATGATTAAAATCTAGAATCACATAGAAATCATGTCTATAGGACCTAACGACTTTAAGTGTTAAAATTGTCAAACGCCTAATTTGTTTTGTGCATTTGCTGCCTAAGTGTGGAGGCTAACTTGAGCCTTTATTTTCTTTTACATGAAAGTATGACTTTTTTTTGTATGTTGCCTAGTTTTATCCTTTTGAGATACCTAAGTTAAGTCTAGAACCATCCAAAAAATAGAGGTCTAAACGCCTCCTAGGCATAGGCAAAGGACAGGTAGTGCGCATAGAGTACGATTTAGAATTGATTAGAGCGCTTTAGGTAAATAACTTAAAGATAATAATCGGGTAGAAGAAGATGATAGTCTGTGCCCGTTGAATAGTATGAGTAACCCCCCATCTTGGGGAGACACGAAGTATTATTTGTGTTGCATGGGGTTATCCTTAAGGCTAAAAAACATAGGACCCCTCATTCCTATTAAAATAGTTCTCTCTTTCTGTTCTCTATTAGACTAATTCATATGATATGAGTTCAGCCAAGACCCACCGTTGTAGACCTCGAGGAGTGCCTAACACCTTCTCCTCGAGGTAATTTGATCCCTTACCCGATCTTTGGTGATGCAAGCTAGTAAACCTGAGTTATCTGCAAATAGGTGCCCTAACACATCTTAATCAGTTAGGTGGTGACTCTCTCTTTTAAACCATTCCCTAAAATAGTTGTCAATGTCAAAACCCGATTTCTCAAGAAAAAAGGGCGTGAAAACATCTATACCGGTGCTAAGATCTCCCAATCTAAAATATGGAAATTACTTGAAAAGTTGCCTTGTTACTAACTTGATGTTTTGGGTATTGTTTAAGACTGCCACTAATTTGTATGATTGTTCTTCCTTATGTTATCATTCGTTCTATTGAGGGGGTGTTTAGTTATTCATACTAGTACTATTACACATGTACTAACATCCCTCTTGCCGGGGGACCTACATCTTTAATTGATGCAGGTGGTTCCACAGTCGGTTGTTTTGATTGTTGATAAAGGTACGGTATGCGGCAAAATCAGGGGGCCTAATTTCTTGCTATCAAGTCACTTCAGAAGAATGCCTCGGAACCTCGAGGACATGGAGTTGTGGCCGAGTTCCTTCCTCGGAGCTCGTCGAGGCCCGACTTAAAGAAGACAAAGATTGAGGCTGGAGTAAAACAAGGAATTCCCAAGGCACACGGCTAGGTCTGACAGAGCCGGCCTACCCAAAGCCTGTATTGAGGCGTCGCGTCTAGCCGTCCCATCTCCATAATTTTACAATTAATATAAGTTGTACTATAATAGGATTACCCTCCTATATAAAGGGAATCCTCACCACTTTGTAAAGGGATGTTGTTGCTCCAACTACTCTACACAAGATCAGTAATAATTCTCTCTCTTTTTTTTCTCTAACTTACTCGCTCGAGGCTACTCTTTCCATTTATTGCTTTCATGCTTGTTCTTCATTTATTACTTGCTATTTTCCATAAAGAGCCTTCTTTAATTATATATTAATTGGTATCCCCTTCCCGTTTATCCACGATAGCTCGAGCTCGTGCTGGGTATCGACCTTGAGGCCTTTCATCGATCAGTCCAAAGCCTGGGTAGGAACCCCTCGGTTTGATTACTGCCCCATTTTAACTTGTATTTCGTCATTAAACTTCATACGCCTAACATCAACCGCTTTGACAACTAGCATAAAAATAGATCGCGTATTTTTAGAGTCCTATTTACAAATTTAATTGTTGTTATCATTTTCATGGTAAACAGTTTGGTGCCCATCGTGGTACTAAAAATAATAGTGATTATTTTCTTGCTGGTTTTGTTACACGACGCAAGTTATCTTTCATACTTTTTTGTCCAAGATCTTCGATTTCAGGATAGAGCGCCTGACTCGGTGAACAAAATGAGAAACCAGAGCCTTAATAACAATAGAGAGAAGGACATGGTTGTTCCAGATGTCGGTACACCACCGAACCCAACCCAGGCGGAAGGGAAGGTTCTCCGACATAACGTCCACATGATTATTGGGGGAACCGACGTTCCCCAAGGACCCATGTTCAAACAAACGAGAACGTCCACTATGGAAGAAGTACCGACTCGGAATCAGGTGCCCGAAAACACCCTCATATTTATGTGTGGAGGACCTCGAGGCCATGATAGAACCGCACAACGACGCGATGGTGATCTCGTTTCTGTTGAACAATACCAGAATAAAGCGCGTGCTCATGGATCCAGGCAGCTTGGCCAACATAATTAGATTAGAGGCAATAGAACAGCTGGGGCTGCTCAATCGAGTCGTTGACGTCCCTCGAATCCTCCATGGCTTCAACATGACCGGCGAAGTAACAAATGGAGAGATCACCCTCCCGATCGACACGTCTGGCACGATTCAGAACACCGAGTTCCAGGTCATCGACGGCGACATGAGGTACAATGCATTACTCGGCAGGCCTTGGATACATAGTGTGAGGGCAGTAACCTCAACCTTGCATCAGGTGATAAGGTTTCCCACGAGGGATGTCATAACGACCATATATGTTGAACAATGGGCAGCGAAAGAAATGTTCGCAGTCCACCATGAGGTGCCTAATCCCACATGCATGATCCCGGATAAGGATAGAAATACACAGGCCCCCGAGGACGACGAGGAAGATTTCTTCGCCCCCCGAACCTTCATCGCCCCCGAAGAATCGTATGCAACTAAATCAACAGTCGAAGAGCTGGAGTAGACCATTTTAATCAAGCACCTACCAAATCGTAATGTATACTTGGGAACGGGGTTGACCCCCGAACTTAGGACATGGTTTATTCAATTTCCTAGTAACAATATCGACTGTTTCGCCTGGTCCCACCTAGATATGACAGGAATCCCGCCGGAAATAACCTCCTACAGGCTGAGCGTTGATGCCAAATTCAAACCCGTGAAGTAGAAGAGAAGACTACAGTCTGAGGTAAAACATGACTTCATCAAAGAAGAGGTAGCGAAACTTCTTAAAATTGGATCCATTAGAGAGGTAAAGTACCCCGAATAGCTGGACAACGTAGTAGTAGTGCCAAAAAAGGGGAACAAGCTAAGAATGTGCGTAGATTTTAAAGACTTAAATAGGGCGTGCCCCAAAGATTCCTTCCCATTGCCTAATATCAATCGCCTAATCGATGCTACGGCCGACCACGAGACCCTCACTTTTCTCGATGCCTACTTGGGGAATAATTAAATCCTCATGAACCCCGAGGATAGGGAAAAGACCTCGTTCATCACAAAGTATGGTACATATTTCTATAATGTAATGCCCTTCGGGCTAAAAAATGCAGTGGCAATGTACCAGCGCCTAGTTAATAAAATATTCAAGCATCAAGTAGGTATATCAATGGAGGTATATATTGATGATATGCTAGTTACGTCCCTGCGCACAGAGGACCATTTGACCCATTTTCAGGAAACTTTTGACATCCTCAGAAGCTACGACATGAAGCTCAACCCCTAAAAGTATGCCTTCGGAGTGGGTTCGGGCAAATTCCTGGGCTTCATGGTTTCAAACAGGGGGATCGAGATCAATCTTGACAAGATAAAGGCCATCAAAGAAATCACGATAGTGAACAATATAAAAGCCATCCAACGGCTAACAGGGCGGATGGTGACCCTAGGCAGATTCATATCAAGTGCATCAGACAAAAGTCACCACTTCTTCTCGCTACTCAAAAGATAGAGCAACTTCGAATGTACTCCAGAATGCCAACACAGAAGAGCTGAAACGATACCTGACTATTCCACCTTTGTTGCATATGCCCAAGGAGGATGAAACGCTATACCTGTACCTGGCCGTGTCTGAGATAGCGGTAAGCGGCGTACTGGTTTGAGAGGAGCAAGGTACATAATTTCCTATTTATTACGTGAGCCGAACTTTGGGGGACGTCGAAACCCGGTATCCCCATCTAGAAAAATTGGCTCTCGCGCTGATAAGCGCCTCGCGAAAGATGAAGCCCTATTTTCAAGTCCCAAATCCTGGCAGACTTCGTGGCCGATTTCTCGCTATCCCTCGTACCCGAGGTAGAGAAGGAACTTTTATTGAAATCAGGCACGTCCTCCAGGGTATGGACCTTGTTCACAAACGGCGCCACAAACATAAGAGGATCCGGGCTTAGTATAGTCCTAAAGCCACCCATTGGTGGCATAATCAGAAAATCCATAAAAACCGCTACATTGACTAATAATGAAGCTGAGTACAAGGCTATGATTGCAGATTTAGAGTTGGCCAAAAGTTTGGGGGCCGATACCATCGAGGCAAAATGTGATTCACTCATCGTAGTGAGCCAAGTGAACGGGAGCTACGAAACTCGATAGGACAGGATGTATAGGTACTTGGACAAAATCCAAGTCGCGTTACATCGCTTGAAAGAATGGACCTTAGTCCATGTACCCCATGAGCAGAACAGTGAGGTCAATGCCCTCACAAATCTGATATCTTCTGCTGAAGAAGAAGACCAACACCCCAGACCTGTTGTCCAACTGTTTAAATCAGTGATTGAAGAAGGTCATGCAGATATTAACTCCACCAGTCTGACATGGTATTGGAGAAATAAATATATTGTTTATCTAAAAGAAGGGAAGCTTCCCGCATATCCAAAAGAATCGAGGGCCCTGCGATCCAAAGCAGCCCGGTTCTCGCTCGACGAAAATGAAACTCTGTACAAGAGAACTTTCGATGCCCCCCTGGTGGTATGCTTAGGAGCAGGTGACACAGATTATGTGCTTTGAGAGATCCACGAGGGCACCTATTGAAATCATTTAGGGGCCGATTCCTTTGTCCGAAAGGTGATCAAAGCGGGCTACTATTGGGACTGCATGAAAAAAAACGCCCGAGAATTCGTCCAAAAACGTGACAAGTGCCAGAGGTTCGCTCCCATGATCCACCAACCCGGCGAGCAACTACATTCCGTTTTATCACCATGGCCATTCATGCAATGGTGAATGGACATCGTCGGCCCTTTGCCGTTGGCACCAGGTAAGGCTAGATTCTTTCTATTTATGATTTATTGCTTTTCAAAATGGGTGGAAGCACAGGACTTCGAGAAAATAAGAGAGAAGGAAGTCATCGATTTCATATGGGATCACATCATATGCCGGTTCGGAATCCCATCCGAAATAAAATGCGATAACGGGAGGCAGTTCATCGGGGGCAAGGTAACATAGTTCCTTGAAGATAACAAAATTAAGAGAATACTGTCAATGCCTTACATTCCATGTGCAAACGGCCAGGCCAAATCTGTGAATAAAACCATCATTCAGAACTTAAAAAAGAAACTGGAGATTGCCAAGAGAAAATGGAGAGAAACGTTGCCCGAGGTGCTATGGGCATTTCGAACAACTTCAACACTCTTCTCTCTAGTGTACAGTTCCGAGGCATTGATATCGGTGGAAGTCGGGGAACCGAGCACTAGATTCTAGAACACTAATGAGGGCTCGAACAATGAGGACATGACAATGGGCCTCGAGCTACTCTATGAATGGCGGGAAGCCTCGCTGATTCGGATGGCTGCCCAGAAGCAAAAATTAAAAGATACTATAACACAAGAACAAATCTCCGATATTTTGGGATCGGGGACTTAGTCCTAAGGAAGGTTACTCTCAACACTCGAAACCCTAATGAAGAAAGCTGGGCCAGAATTGGGAAGGACCGTACTGTGTCCTCGGAATAGTTGGCAAGGGATCCTATAAGTTTGGCACCATGGAAGGCGAACAACTTCCAAGCAACTAGAATGTATCGATGCTTAAGAGGTATTACTTCTAGGGCACCTGATCGGAAAATCTCGCAAAGATCCTCAAGCAAATGTTGCACTCTTTTCCTTCGACCAAGTTTTTATCCTGAAATGGGTTTTTGCCGACAAGGTTTTTAACGAGGCAACGTCCACGAACTTTCTAAGAAGCACTCAACAATCCTACCGGATTTTCTTCGCAATCAACCCTGTACTAGAGAACGACAAACGAGGTTCCAAGAGGAAATAATGCATCGAGCCAGACGGTCGAACGAACCGTATCCGCATAAGCCGGGCTTACGGGAAAACAATAACATATATATACGCCAAGTAATCAAAGAGTATCTTTCGCCAAAAGCATCTCGTACTCCAAAAGAAAATTCAGCATGCTCATGGAAAGGATCCCCCCATCGAGTACGTCCTGAAATACTCAGAGACTTAGCATCAACAATTTGGCACCCACATGACCTCAGGTCGGAACTCCATGTTCATAAGGACCCAATGAGGCAATTCCGAGCTCACGGGTAATGGCCTTCGAGCCTAAGCAAACTCGATGACTCAGAAACTATCATAAATCACCATTCACTGAAAACCCCGAGGTTGTAAGACCCCGAGCGGGCAAACTCGGTCTGGCCAGAACTATTTTACATAACAACAAAAAATTGTAAGACCTCAACAAGCATGGAAAAACTGTAAGACCTCAACAGACATGAAAAAACTATAAGACGTCAATAGGCATGAAACAACAGTAAGACCTCAACAGGCATGAAAATTTTGTAAGACCTTACTGCAGACATAAAACTCAATCCCGAAGTTTAGGCTATGTCTCGCATTTGTAAGACTACCGAAAGGGCATATCCTCGATGCAGATGCCTAAACTATCACACTCGAGATCAAAAACGGCTCTGGCCAAACACATATGACTATGGTAAAAACAACTACACCATCCAAATTAATGCGACTAGGGGACACCCGACCATCTCTAACAAAATCACAGGCCATTACTTCAAATCTACTTCGAAAAGAACCGATTAAAACAGGCTACCCTCAATAGGCAAACAAGCTTCGACCATGTCAGCTCCAAATCACAAAGGCTTCGAGCTGCTCATCCTACGAGCTAAACCTTTTGAGGTGCTTGAACATCGCCACTAACGACTTGAAATCGAGGTTCTTCCCGAACCGGCGACGGGTCAAGCAAAATTATTTTAAAAAATGACCTTAACGGGGGAAAAACAAAGCCTATATATGCCTAAGGGAAAAAAGCATAAGAGCCATAGTCGCTAGCTAAATGAGCCTCAGGGCCACACACTAAAAGGTTGCAACGACCAAAAGCGTAAGAGCCACTGTCGCCAGCTTAAAATTTGAAAACTTGAGGATTAAAATAAGCTCGAGTCGTAACCTGATTCAGAGACCAAATCAAAAATAGTTAACTACACATGCCTAATGGCATAGCGTAAGAGCCATCGTCGCCAACTCCCCAAGACTTAGGGCCACATACATAAATGGTCACTTCGACCCAAGGCATAAGAGCCATTGTCGCCAGCCCATGCAGATATAAAACTTGAGGGTCGATTGAGCTCGAGTCTAAGCCCGACTAAGAGACTGAACCCAAAATAGTTGAGCAAAAGTGTAAGAGCTTTGACAGCAGTTTACATTAGAGGTCGCATCGACCAGGTACATGAAAGCCCCCGGGATCTCATAACGAGCCACAAGGCCATATTGCAGGTCTAAGGTTTCTTGACAATTCTTGTTGAATTCGGGGCAAAGAGGGGAATAGAGGAAACAAAGCCGCAATATTCACTTTATGCATATTCTAGTATGAAAATACTATATACAAAAAGGAAGATCAACAAAAAAATTGATAGGAAAATCAACAAAGATCCTAATCTATTGCCAAACCGGCATCTTCAATGGCTCCCTAAGGGTTGCACCCAGGCAATTACAAGTCCCCCGACGACCCCTTCTCAATGGCATC